TTACATAAGATAATTTAATTTACTCAATCAGCCAAAACTTGATTTGTTCCCACGGTTCTCGTTTTACTTCAGATCGTAAATAATCGAAGCGACTCAAACTGTTGGGTTTGTGTGTGATCTTCCCATTTTGCGCTGCAGTACATGAAAAACTTCAAAAGGCTCTTCGCTTTAACAAGACTGTGCATGTTAGTTGAGGGAACTATACTCATGCTATGAAATCAACTTTTGGTTTTTTTGTTTTTGTTTTTTGTTTTTTTTTTTGTTGTTGTTGTCTTTGTTTTTGTTTTTTTGTTTTGTTTTTTTTTTGGATCGGTGGGTTGAAATGGAATTTCTAACCCATTAACTGCCCTGCGACCGGGCATGGTCCTAAATAAACTGAATGCCTAGCAGACAGAAATTTTCAGAGATTTTCTACTAAAAGGTTCTTTCAAACTTTTAACGAATATCAGAAGTTTGTTTTTAAATATGTCAAGCGATTCCAAAAATTAATTTGGTTTTCAGTGGACACACTCTCCGTGCTTGATTGTCGACACTTTCAAATTTCACACCTCTGATCAGACTGCCGGGCACCGAAAGGTTCCTGGAAACTTCCTAAGAGTATAAGCTTTTTGTTAGAAAAGGTCAAGCGGTTCCAAAAATTAAATTTGCTTTTCAGTGGACAAATCTCCCCATATCCCATAACTCTCTCACAATACATTTTCTAAGTTGTGTGACTCACACACATATTGATTTTTCCCTGTTTTTAGGGTGCTAACCTTCAACAACATCACTCACATTAACAGACGTACATTGAGTGGACTTTCCAGATTGACCACACTGTAAGTGCCCTTTATGTAAAGGGGGTAAGTTTCTGAAGAAACTGTAGTGCTGCGTCGGTGGGAGAGTAGTGCAGGTAATTCAGTGTTAACAACTGAGTTGAGAGCGTAAATTGGCCACCGCAAAGGGTAAAAATTTTCAAAATTCAGGATGCCAATTCTAAACTTTTTAAACATTTGCACCAAATTAAGGCCCAAAAACTCGACCAACTTATCGGCCCTCAAGTCAAAATTCAGGACGCCAATTCTAAACTTTTTAAACATTTGCACCAAATTAAAGCCCAAAAACTCGACCAACTTATCGGCCCTCAAATTACTAGCGACTCATCGCCTGAAAACCTCAAAACTGTAGTTACTATTCCCGAAAATTTACTACTACTTTCCGACTCAGAAAAATCATTTCTCAGTAAGGGCTTAAATTTTGTTCCCATTTCCAAAAGAAAACCCACGAATCTTAAATTAAGCAAGACGTTGAAAAATCCCTTCCCTGCGTTCACCAAATTTTCCAATCTTTCTTTGGAAGAGTGGTCGGCACTAAAAAGTGTAAAAAAAACGCAGATATAGTCATTAAAGCGGCCGACAAAGGCGGCGCAGTTGTTGTTTGACTGGCTGACCTCTACCAAAAAGAAGCTTTGCCGCAACTTTCTGACACCTCCTTTTATGCTTAAGTCGACAAAGATCTCACTTTGATTAACCAAGACATCGTCAAGAATACGATAAACGATCTTTAGCTAAACAAGAATTGCCTGCCATTTCCAAAAATCTCGCCATCACTACTCCCAGAACTTTGTGTATTTACTTTTTACCTAAAATCCACAAACCTAAAAACCCAGGTCGACCTATCTTTTCTGCCTGCAGTTGTCTCACCGAACTTATTTCCAGCTATTTAGACAAAATTATGGCAACTATCGTCAAAACTTTACCATTTTACATTAAGGACAGCCGACACGCGCACTTGAAATTTTTCGTGACTTTAGTTTCCTCGGCCAAAACAAACTTATTTTCACTATGTATATAACATCTCTTTATACTGTCATTCCCAATGACGAAGGTCTCCGGGCCCCCCAACATTTTTTCGATCACTGCACTGTTAAGGAACCTAGCTCTGAAACACTACTTCGTTTAGCCGAACTAGTAATCACACTTAATTGCTTTTCATTCGGTGGCAACTACTACAAACAATCTAATGGCGTGGTCATGGGTACTCAAATGGGACCTAGCTACGCCAATCTTTTCGTAGGTTTTATCAAACGTCAATTTTTTAGTTAATACCACGGCCCAAAACCTGAACTCTACGGCCGTTACATTGACATCCAGCTCTTAAATATACCTGGGAAATTTCCGACACTTCTTTGGCTTTTCTAGACATCAAAATTTCAATTGATGGCAACGGTTTATGCACTAGTGTTTAATACAAACCTGCAGATTCACAAAGTTACTTGTTATATTCATCTTCACATCCATCACACGTCAAGAACTCCATATCTTTGTCACAATTTCTCAGACTTCGTCGTTTATGTAGTGACGACTCTGATTTTTCCGAAAAACCAGAGGCAATGTGCCAGTTTTTCGATAAACGTAGCTATTCTGTTTCTGTAGTTCAAGTGGGGCACCACCGGGCCCAACAAATTGATCGACAGTCAGCACTACAAACAGCTGAGAAGGAATACACTGACCGCATTCCATTCACTCTTACATTTCACCCTCACAACCTCGCGGTTACATCCATCATTCTTAAAAACTTTAAATTACTCCAAAATGCTTCAGAGACTGGCACTATCTTTCCGCAACTCCTACTTATTTCATTCAAACGTGAC